ACCAGCCGATCCGGCACGAATTTTAAGATCCCGCGACGCATTTGCAATTCAAAGCGATACGTACACGTCGATAGGTAGCAATTGTTTCGATTCTTCATACGCGATCAATGGCGGCTTCTGATTGTACCGGCGCTCGTTAAATTTCCAAGCGTCCTGATTTCGTGCCTTCAACTCGCCGGAGTTTCACCTTTACCGATCTGTGGAGCAAGATGCGTAATTTGCATACCTAAATAACACGTGACCGCGATAAATCTGCCGATTCTCGAGTTCTGCCTTGATTTCGATCACGTGCTAATTCTATGAAAATGAATTATGCTTGATGAACCACTTTTCATCGGGACGCTACAATAATATTACAACTTGTTACTTGCGCTGCATTTCGTTTTCGCATAGGATTAGTTTGTTGTAGAATGTATGTTATTGAATATTTTACGATATTTTAAAGTTTAAGCTCGATTACGACCAGTGTTCGCGAAACTAACAAATAATATGCGACCATTTAACCCGTTAAAAAAGACTTCGATCATCACGCAATTGGAAATTAATAAAAACACATCCGTTTCATTTCGATTCGTTTCACTTAGGCTTAGTCGTAACAAACGTAAATATAGTGTATAATTCATTTTTAACATAAATCAAACTTGGTCAATAACGCAGTATATACAATTCTAATTTCTAAGTCACTAACATTTCTCTGTCCCCCAAAAACCCTTCTCAAACTTCGATTCACAATTTTTCCTCGTTCAAATACGCAGCCCATATACGCAACACTGCTCGTTCAGTCGCGATATTTTCACGCGACGGGGATGTTCCTCGAATGCACGTGAAAAGAACCTCTGCGACACTCTGCACCGGAAATCACGCTCGACGACGCGACGTGAACTGTGCAGGGGAAAAAATTTCTCCGGGGAAGCTGGCTGGTCCCACGGTTTTCCACGGAACATTTTTTAGCAGTCGTCATAGAGTAAGCTGCCGGCGGGCTTCGAGATCTCGGGGATGAACGTCGTTGGTTGTGCTCCGGGGAGACGAAAAATAAATCTGTTCTGATCTGATGATAGCGGCACATCTTGGTATATCGGCGGAACCAGATAGCACTGTCGATAATATCGCGAATAGTTTTGATTTCCGATAACGAATTTCTCGCGGAGAAAGCTGTCTACGTGTGACGAGCCGCGCGTTCATTCGGGTGAGTCAGTCGAGACGACGATGTCTCGATGTGATGAGACCGAGGGATCAAAACGAAAAGCAATTATTTAAATGCGTTCTACGTCGTGAACTTTTCTATTCGTCGTCGAGTTTTTACCGGTATCAGGCTTTCCCTTTCTTTTTCACTTCGTCTTGTTCACTTTATTTTTCGACGATCTCTCGTTTCTCGTGACCATTCTTTTCTTATGTGGATCGAGCCTAGAGGGTGATGCGAATGAATCATGGGAATAGGAATAATGTAGCTTGTTTTGTAAGAGTTTTGGATCGTTTTTGAATCGGAAGAGCGCCATTAAACGTATTAAATTACGTACATTATATTAAAATGTTATTTAAATTGGTATGCATATAATGTAGTTTAATGTAAATCTTTCGTTTTCCGTTTTAGCTTTTGTTACATATTTCTTCAATAAAAAAGGACTTACAAGAGGAATATAGGAATTAAACGATCTCAGTAAAATCCAATAATTAATAAATATAAAAGAATCGTAGAGAGTATCTGTTATTATTAATTATTTAAATACCTAGAAAGAATAGAGCATTTTCAGAACTATTTTAATTTTCATGTTACGTAACTATAGAAAAATCAAAAAAACATCAATCCATTCTTTCACTCTGTTATTCGAAAGTTTCTCTAAATTCCATATAAAAACCAACTCCATATCGGTGACCACACGAAAATCATCTTCAGTTGGACACTGCAATGCGAACCGAAAAAGGACTCGACTCTATCGTGGTTCCATTTTGTCGTTTACATATCTTAGCTTTGACACGCGTGTATCACCCTCGTAAATTTTCCAACAACCTTTCAGACTCACCCTGTACATTCGTCGCGTCATCTCACCCTTCTAACCTTCCCCTTTTTCTCGTTTCACCAGTGATTCCAACGAGAAAAGCGCACGTTGGCAGAACGTCGACCTTTATTACCACGTCGAATCTTTTGGCCAGAAAAGTGTACGTCGTACCGGCATCGTATTCGAGCAACGATATTGCATTTGACGACCGTACTGTAGTTTCTTGTCAATTTTTTATGTCGACCCGTGATTGTGATCTGAGGCTCGACTCGATCAAATGACGCGTATCGTCATTTTGTGTTGATGGCCCTGTATGATCCGACAGCTTTGTATTTCTAATTATATAATACACACAAGCACGAGCTTTTGTTATTAGTAAACTGCGCATTTTTTATGTAATTTACAGAAAATTTGGGAGTGCAAGCAGCTATTGAATATTAGTTGAAATGCGTCATAAATGACATGTTTGATTTCGTTATAAAAAATAGATTATATGATCCTGATGTTGTCCAACAGTAACCAAACTGAATTATACAGTTGAAGAATATCGAAACGGTCGAACTTTGTTAGCATCTATTCGAATTTTAATGTATACAAATCTTCATTTACCTACTGAAAATTTCATTTGCAATTGTAATTGATTCTTTACCATACCAAAAGCTAATTGGGTATTCATCCTCGTTTCGTCAATTATGTTCAATGTTGTAATTAATTTCTTTCTTTAACAGCCTCGCTACGTAATTTAAATTTATATGTGGATATTATTGGACGAATGTATCTGTAAATTGTTTTTTATCTCTGAAAGTAGTAGACAAAAGATACGTCAACAGAAGAAGGGAATATTTGAAAATAAATTGCGATTGAATTACAGAAATTTAACCAACAATTCATTTTTACGCAATTTTTGATAATATTCCCTATTGAATAAATCAGACCTCAAGGAGCTAGATAAAGCTTTCTAATTAGCGCATGAATTTGGTCGATAATTAGCTTCGTGAACACAGCCGCGTTCAATATATTTCGCATCCACGAAATTCAAGCGTTCCCCACTTGAAGTGTAATGGAATGCACAGAATCAGAGGTTTGGTAAATTTCGCGCACGCGTGCCAAACATCTCGCTTCTTCGCAAAATAGAAACATGCGGCTTCTTAACCTGATTAGTATTTCCGGTTGAAATATAAAATCTGTGTCATTTGCTACCATTGCCGGAAGCCGGAGAAATCGTGCAGAATGTGCAGAAAAAAAGGAATGCGACCGCGGGACAATGTACTCTGGAAATATTTTCAGGGGCTTCGTTTTTGTTCTGCAATGTTGCTTTTAGAAACGTTCTCAGAGTCCGGAAACTGTCTGCATCCGGTTAAATCTTCTGTCATCCTGTCAAAAAGTTGCTCTGGTAGATACTACATACTGAAACATAGTTAAAATTATTACGTTGTAGGTGTAGCTTAACGAAATGGAAGATTCTTTCTAACTTTCAAAAGAAGTCGTCACAAAAATCATTGCAGTTAGTACAGTTCAAATTAATTTTTATTTCGACTTATTCGACAAGAGAACATTCGTTCTACACTTTCTTCGTCAAAAATATATTTTTAATTTTATTCATCGACGGGCAAATTTTAATTTAACCCATTTAAACGATAATATCAACGCTTCAGTCTCATTTCGATCATCCATTCTTCTTATAAATAATTAATCTTCTCTCCCATCTGTGCAGCATCAAATCAATCGTAAGAAACGTTTCCCCTTTTCAGTCTTTCTCCGGATCGAATTTCTTTCGTTTCTGGCGACGAACATCGGCGGAAAAACGAGAAGGGACGCGTCGCGGAGAACAATTTGCCGCGAAATTGTTACGGTCTCCGCGACGAATAGAAGGCCGAAACCCAATTACCACGTCGACGTTTCTCGATCGCCGACGTTCGAAGCTCGGCTACAGACAATGCCAGACCCGAAACTCTCATTTTTTTTCCCCTTCCCTCAATTATTTTTCGACGACACTCGTCGAAAGCAGACGGATGCGCGAAACGCCCGGTGTCCGCGAGGCATTCGAGCCTTTTCGATTCCACGCTGTGACGGAAAACCGTTCGTTCTTCGCTGCGAATTGAACGAACGGAACGGCATATCCATCGTCGGTCATCGTTAGTCCTCGAATTTTCGCCAAGTGAAACCACAAACGAATCCCTGAATATCGTGCATTGAATCGTGGGTGTGAAATAAAATATACTGTATGTGCGTAAATATACAATGATACTCGAGAGTATTTAAACACACATGGAATCTCTTTATGAAAATATTGTAATATTATGTGTGCTACAAGAAACATTTTGAAATTTCACTAGCACTATAATGAGATGTGGCTATCATAATTACGTTCGCAAAGTTTGAAAAAGTCAATAAAGTATTTATGCAGTCATATATACATTATGGGAAGCTATAATATTTAACGAGGCCATCTTTAGCACTAATTATATATTTAAGACCTCTATCCGTGTCATATCAGCTTTTTACTAAATGTATATATACTTGCAATATATACTTTGTTACCAATAAATTTCAGAAGTTTCAGAAAATCTTGTACAACACACATGATATATTCATACAAATTTTCTACGATAAATGCACGAATACATTCGGCAGCTACAGTATGTATATCTATGCGTAATTGCATAGAAAATGAAAAAGAGACGAGAGAAAAGAGGTGAAGGGAGAAAATGTGAACAACGAGGGAAAGAATAGAGAGACGAGTTCGACGGGATTCCGGTGAAATCTGAACGCTATAATTTCGTGGAAACCGTGGGCATCGAGCTAATCTTTGTCCCGCTAATTGAGGCCTTTTCATTTCACCGTAAATTGCCACGGAGAATTGTCCTCCGGTTTGCTCGGTGGCGTCGGTTTACCGGTCGGTACTCGACGATAAAACGTCAGCCCAGAAACCTTAATTGAAACACCGTTTAATCGGGATTTATTAAGGTTGCTGATCTAATTCTCTATTTAATTATGTTTCAGGTTTGATCACGACCAGCGGCCGGAAACTCGATCGAGAAAACCAAGCGGAACATGTTCTCGAGGTGAGTTTGCATACGAATTATTATTCGTAAACGGAGAAAAAGAAAATGTATACATTGAAATTTGATTCGGGACCATGAATCAGCCGTTATTTGTGAGAGTCCTGGATTTTTTGGGTGACGCGTCGTTGTCTTGCGATTAATCGAACGGGTCATGTTACATTGAATACGGAATGATACATAAATTGCAGGTTGATAGCATTCCACGTATTTAACCTGTATGCAAACTTGTTATTTGAAATTAATTTTTGTCAGGATTTGTTTTTTGGAAATAAATTCGAACGTATATTTAATCGTATGCACGTAATATGCAAACGATATCAAAATGCAAATTTACATCTTCATTGCATTCCGCTAAATTTTCTCCGTGACATGTACGTATTTTCAATTAAACATACTCTTCATAAATTTTTTCTGGTTCTTTATATGCAACATCTAGAAAATTCAATCGTGTATAATTCCTTGAAACTCAATCTTATTTAATTCCTATATGAAAATCTAAATTATACTGCGCTAAACACATAAACTAAATTTATTTGGATCCAATAGCTACAAAATTCATTAATTCCCAATCGTATAATAGAAATTCATCTTCACGTAGTAAGCAACCCTTATTTAATTTCTATGTCTCGAATTCTAAGCCGTGCCTCACAAAATTCATAAATTACGCTTTGAAAATTACAATCAGGTCCTTTTCACGGTGCATTCGTATGCAACACAAGTTCTGTATCCCCTTAATCGTTTATTTTCTGACGCGATTACCAGCAGATCCCGGAAAGTTTTGACGCGATACCGTACCCGGCTTAATACTAGTTGTCCGACTCCCAAGTAGCTTCAGCAAAATAATCACCTTACGCTAAGTATAATCATGCGTCGATGTGTACGTGGTCGCGTAGTTGGCTCTTTGCACACGAACCGTGGTCGGGTTAAGCTGGATTCACGCAAGTCAGGTCATGACGAGGCGACGCCGAATTTCTCAGATCGCGATGAAACGCCATAATGTAGATTCTAAATCCTTTTTGCTCGGGCTTAGAGGTTCTTCGTTAATTGCTCCAACCAAACTACTTTTTTCGTTACTTTCTAATAATTCCTGGTTGTTAATCGAAATGGCGGAAGGGGAAGCTAATAGGACTGAGATATAGCTTAATGTGAGGAAGTGGATTAACGAATGTACAAATTTAATTTACCATAGTGAATCTGCGAATATTTGGAAAGTATAATTGAAATGATTATATGCTATGTGTAGAATGTTGATATTTCAATTACGACTAGAAAATACTATTTAAGGGGAAAAATGTTTAATTAAGTATCGTACATGGCTTCTTGTAACGTGCTCTGAGTACATTATTAGGAGACTATTCGCATATTTTCATAATTTAGTAATTTACTGCAGGACGTAGTGACTAATTGCTTTTAATCCCTTTCATCATTTGGCAACGTAAAACGTAATATGTGCATGAGTGTATGCTGCGAGGCTGGAAAATGTATTCTGTAACACCCAGTATAACTACAAACATTGCTACATATTTTCGTATGCTGATTGTTATGCAGAATTCTGGGATACCTGAGATAGAAAATTCTCAAACTTTCTTTGGTACGCTCACAATGAAAATAAAGAAAAATGTTTACAAAGCGAAAGTTCTGTATAAAACGGTATAAGAAGTTAGATTTCCTCCATTCTATTAAGCAATATCACTTTCCATAATGTAACAGTTAAGCATGGAAAACTCATCGAATCCTTATCCAAAACACGATAGCGGCTCATTTCATCCCCCGAGTTTAAAACGTTCTCGCATTCTCAAATAGCCTCTGGCGAAGCAGCGTTCTACGCACCCAAATGAAATCGCTAAAAAAGATACAAAACACTAGAAAACATAGTCCAGAGGTTTAAAGCGATTCAGGGGGAGGTATCTTGAAAGTGTTGAATGGTAGCAAGTCATTAAGGTAAATCGAATTTCCTAACAGCGTGCTAACGCAAACAGGTGATAGGTCGATTACCGATGCACCCTTTCTATCTCTTTAGTTTCACCCTCTTCACCTCCTAGCGAATCTCTCAAACCGTTCCACCCTTCGATCTTACCCCCTCTTTGGTACCCATTCGCTCGCTTCATCCCCTAATATTGTCAGACTGGAAATGAGGAAGAAAATCGCATCCTCCCGAAGATTGAAAAGTAAAATGAGGAGAGAATCTCCTGTCTCGCACGGTGAAAGCGAGAGGACCAGCTTTAAGGGTGTCATTCCCTCGGAGAAACACCGAAAGAGAGCTTCTCTCCTCTCGGAGGGATGAATGAGAGAGATTGTGTTAGAAAAGGGAGGAAAAAGGAAGTGATACTAAAATGGACGGATGAAGGAAAGAAAAGCAAACTGTCGGACAGTGAGTGGATAGAAAATCAAGGACGGGACAAGGTGAGGCATTTCTCTGCGGCTCTCTCGTCATCCGGGGCTCTCAGGGATTTCTCTTCGCGTTCGGATTAAAGGAAGAGCACCGGCCTGGTTCCCCTGCCGTGTGTCTTTCTATAAGGCTTCGTATATTTGTATATGTGTGCGTCTGTGTGTCGTGAAACACCGGAATTTCGTTACAATGGAAAGAGCAAAGGAGTGGTATAGCAATCTTGGAAAAAGCTTTCCCGGCCGCACCGAGGGCTACAGATAAATAGACGCTGCTAGAGACGACGAATGCTTTCCAGCCCCGATAACGAGTTTTTACGTGTCAATAGATCGGGATTGCGTGGACAACCACATCGGTTTCCGATACAGCAGATCTTCAAGAGAGGATAAAATTTATTAAGTCACGCGGTTACGATATGTTCGATTTACGCGTAACGGAATTGAGTTGGTGGGACGCGTTGCTTACATATCAGTCTATTTGGGATTCTTATTTCATTAATTTGTAGTAGTTCATCAAGTTGGGGAGTGAATCGAACGAATGACGGTATTGTTCGAGTTGTGGAATTTGAGAATTTAGTTTTGATGTTTGATATTGCGTTAAGATATTTAACAAGTGGGTTATTTTCTAAAAATACTCGCGTCTCTACCAGATGTTGATGTTGTCGCTAAAAAATCATAGAAACTCCTTGTAATCTTCGTCTATGCTGTATTGCCACAACAATAACCAACTCTAAGTTGGTCTTCAAACATTTCACCTTTAAATATTCTTCCCCATTTCAGCATAGAAATTATTTGAGAAATATTGGACGAATGCTTATGCTATGCTTTACACAGTGTCCGCGTAAAAGTTACGATACTTGATTATACGTTGTCTAGCAAAAGAAACATCAGTGTCAACTAGAAAGTTGTTCGATGAAATTTGTTTAGTCTGTCGTCGTCGATCCAAGGTTGAAGTTCCGCCTCTCGAAACTGGCTATCTGTTAGTGTCATCGTCTCGCGGGTGCATAGATATTTCAAGATCGTACGTTCGTAATAGAATTGAGATTGAACAGCTCGTACAAAGAGGATAAGTCTCTAGCTTCCAGGTCTACTTTAATCAGAAAATTTTCTTTCATCGAGATGCAAGTTACTTCTCTGTTGAACGGAACGATCAAAGGTAGCATGATACGTAGCAAGTATCAATCGATAAGAAAGTCGAAGCTGAAATGGGTCTGCAGCGACATGGTAAATGCATGTTTTTGGGAGAAAGTTTTGAAAATGATGTTTGTGGAAGAAATTCAAAGTGGCTGGTATCATCGTGTATGCATAGTTTTGGCAGCATGGAATTAATTATTGAATGTTAAAATTTAACTTGCCTGTTTCTTTCGTATAATATTCATGAAAAAATTTAAATAAATTAAACCACTTCTTGCTTGTATTCCCTAAATGAAATTCAGATTCAAACACCCTCCAGATACTTTCAAAAGCGGTCTGGAATATCTACGGTCCATAGGATCTCTCAAACTTCTGCTCTATGAAGCATTTCCTCTAAAACCACTGTTACCACTACTGTAACCACTTGGTGGGCACATGTACATATAATAGTATGCGCATATTCAGTGTGACTTGTGAACTTTTTCATACCAAAACTTTCTAAATTTAAAATATGCAGCTTTTTTTGTCAACATCATGCTGGAAATATTTTCTCAAGTAGATAAATACGTATGATAAATAAATATGTATGTAACAGGCAGAGATATACAATATATTGAAATGTGCATGTTTATCTAATTGTATTCATAAAAATATAAATTTGCATACACATCCGCAGTCTAATAATGGCTATAATAATCAATAATATCTATAGACTAAAATCAACATTAAAGAGGAGAAGGGTTTAGAACAAAGAAGTTGCGTGTTCGCCAGCGATTATAGCAATATATCAGAGATTCAATCAAACGCACATAAAACTACAAGTACTTAGCGTCAACGAAGTTTTCACGTAAAACTTTCCGGACGATCTAATAAATTACGATTATCAAATTCTACCATCGTGTTAAAACCCTGTGAAACGAATAATTACAGCTTAAGGGGACACACGGTCGCCACACTGAAATCACATTAATTTAGTGGAAATAGGATATCCAGTGGAGAACGTCATCGAGATTCGTTCGAGTTACATTTCATATTGCGCGGAACTTTGCAATGCAAATAGCCCGGTCTCTTCCTGAATATATCCGAGATTAATCTGCCAGGCGAAATAATGATCCAGAACGATATTTAATATTTGAAATACAAATTTGTATTAGCATCGTTAGTTGATCGTAATGGCCGACGTTAATAAATCGCGCGAAGAAAATCAGGGAGAAAAAGAGGAGAAAAGGGAGAGAAAGAACGAGCGATTCTCGTTGAAGCAATAATTAATTATCGTACAGGTGACTCGGCGTTATTCCTATAAAATTAACCCAATTATCGTCGCAGTCTATGTTTTCCATAAGCGACCCGTGATAATTAATCGAACATGCTGCAGGAAGAGACACGGGTCTTCTTAATTGAATTACTATAATAGGAGGATATTAATTGTCACTGAAGTGATAAATCTCGATATCTCTGCAACTGGACCGGTATCGATGATT